AAATTTTTTTTCACATGCATGAGTCTTTTTTTTTATTTCCATTTCAGAAAAACTAGACAATATTGTTTATAATATGGTAAGCAATCGCAGATGCAAACACTTACGCTTTTATAGGGTTGTAACTTAATCTTCTAGTCGTCAAACCTATAAATGGGATCTGGAATCAGTCGCCAAATCTTGAAATGGAATATGGAATTAAATGCCAAATCTGGAAATTGTTACTCCTATGATCCTCATAAGAACAACAGAATAAAGTTATGAAATTATTGTATTGTCATTGATCCTTGACAAGTGTGCAAAATTTCGAATTAATCTGACCTTATAAAGTGGGTAAAAATCGAGTTCAAAGATTCCGTTACATACAAATGAAACTTATAAAAGCGTGTTAAAAAAGACAATGCTACTCTTCAAAAAAGCACTAGTACCACATATCTAGGTGAAGTCCTAGACAACAAATTAAATTTTTCTAATCATGTGAATAGTGTTATAAAAAAGTAGAGAAGATATCCTCAATTTTGAAAAGACTATCCTGTACCAAATGGGGAAGTTAACATGCTACCTGAAATAAAACTTACAACACTTATATTAAATCCCTTTTCAAATATGGAGGTGAGGTATTAATCTACCACACACCGTCAAATCAAAGTTCTTCGGATCATCACAGGAGTGATGAAAACTACCCCAATTACAGATATCCAAAGCTATTCTTCCAACTCACCAATTGCTATTGAAATCAAGAAACAAGTATGCGATGCATTCATTAAAATGAGAAGGCATCGCATATAGAGCAATGAATGAACAAATGCAAACCAAGTACCATGAGGACCCAAGTGGCTTCCCTAGAGGCTTGTGAGAAATCATTACAAGAAATAGATGAAAATAAACCAAACTGAATTGTAACAAGGTTACGGTTAATCCTCTTGAATATATTGATACCAAATACCAGCTAGATATTAATGACTTGGGAAAGAAAAACATTTCTGATGCAATATTAAAAGCAAATACTTTATGCATATTACATGAACAATACCCTGAACCTAAATAGACTAGAATGTACACTGATCTTGAAAATACAAGACAACACTGGGGTTGGTATATAAAGTAAACTCTTTTCCCAATGTACTCCTGTAGAACACTTCACGCCAAATTTTGATGCAGAGATTCTTGCAATCTCACTAGTTCTGGAAAACCTCAAGATAACGATAGATTATTTCTCTAAAGCTGTTATTCTAGTCGATTCCAAAGCAGCTATCCAGGCTGTAGTTATAAATCATGACACAGACACCCTGATTATCTCAGAAATAAGACAAACCTTGAACCTTCTTTATAAATACAACAAAACAATCATTTTTCAATGGATGCCTTCACTTATGGATATCGACGATAGCAAATAGCAGGCTTACTTACCAAGAAAGGAACATTTGAGCTACAAGACAACAAACCACTTCCCCCAGTCACTTAAAAACATATTTTTGAGAGAAGAATTGGTGGATACTCTTAAATCTGACCAGGAAGCAAAATCAACAGGCTAACATTCAACACACTTGTCAAGCTTTGTCAAATTCCTGTAAAGAGGAGGTGGCAAACTTTAGACTGCAAACAGGCCATGATTGCATGGGATATCATCTTGTCCTGGTTCCATGAGGAATGTGTCGATTTAGTGTGTGACTCCTTCCATTTTAATGAGTGTTGAGAGAGAGTAAGTCCTCATTAAATGTTGTTTTTCTTTAAGTTTGTAATAATTTGTGTTAATTTAATAGTTTATCTGATTTTCACCATTTAATTATTTTTAATTTATAGATAAAAACAGATATCATTTGCAATACAATTTGTCCAATAAAAAAGGTTTAAGTTTACTTCTTATAATTTGCCAAAGATGTAATTTGTATAAAAATATATTTCCGTTTGTAAAAGATAAATGTAGAGATGACAGTTTCTCTTATCTTTTTCTAATGCAACCTGCCCATATTTCCTGTTATTGTGTCTATATTACCTTGAGTTTCAGTCAAACATGGGCAATTGCAAAAAATTTGCTTTGGAACTTCTTTATACACTCAACAACAAGAGTAGAGTTAGAGGTTTGTCCGTATAGCATTAACAAGACCGCACTCTAAAGTTTGAAATATCTTAATTTTGGGAAAATGGAAAGTGTTTTAGTAAAGTATATTTTCAATTAAATATTTTGGTGCCCATATTTATTCAATTTACCTTATATGTATAGCATTTTAGACACGATTCAATTTATTAAGTTACAAACGAAATTATGTGAAACCAAGAATGTTGACAAAAACATCGACATAACTACATAAAACCACTGATTTCTCATGAAGTTTTTTTAAAATTTTTTTTTAACCTTTTATACGTGTATATTTCATAAGTGGAACATCATATTTCAAAAATTTTCTAAAGTATGTAATTTTTTTCTATTGCTACATAAAAATTATTAAGTAGAGTAAAGATAAGAATTAATTTTTAGTATCAAGGAAATGTTTATAATAAATAGTATCTTGATAAAAAAAAATATATTCAACCTTTTAAAAAAAAAAATTTTTTGTTGAAGAAAATTTAAAAATTCAAAATTTACAAAGTGTTTTTAATAATTTAATGCAAGTTATAAAAGTGAGATAATTTTTTGTTGATATACTATAAGATATAAAAAGGTAATAATTTCTTTTTTTACTATGAAGTAAGAAATTTGGACCATAGAGACCTCCAACGATTCTTGATAAATATTGCATGGATCTTTCCTCTTGGCCCTTAAAAAGGAAACAACAATGTACATCTATTCCTTGAAGTATTGCTCAAGAAGTTGATACATTGTTTAACCAAAATTGGGTCTTGCACTATAAACCTCAACAATCACTCACTCACCACATTTGATTTTCTTTAAGGACCAGACGGGTTGACGATTCCTAAACTCAAACTCAGTGGGCCTAACAGTCCATGAGAGCTAGGTGCAGAACTCCAACGATTTTTGGTTCTTTCCTCTTGGCCCATATAAAGAGAACGGCAATGCACACATACTGCTTGAAGTATTACTCAAGTTGATACGCCGTTTTCAGCCTTTCATCCTTACTGCAGTAGGTCAATGAATAAGTACCAAGCTTGCTTGGGGACTAAAACAATGGGGGTCTCGTTCTAAACTGACCACCTGATTGGGACATCTGCTCATGCACTTCAGGGCCAGAGTAGCCAAGTGGTCAAGGTATAATGGTCCCGACCAGGTGGTCAGTCCGAAGCGAGACCCCCAGTGTTTAAGGTTGTTTTTGCCATATGTACCAGAGCATGAACTTGACGCGGAGCATAGTGAACAAAATATGTTTTGGTATATAATGTCTAATTTTTAAAAAAATAGATTTATATGTGCAAAAAGAAAATTAAGATTTTTAAAATTTTAAGGTTTTATGATTATTTCAAAGAAATTATGCAATTAATTCATTAAAAAACTGATTCATTATGTTTGATATGTTGCTTTATATATATGTGTAAAATGTTTTGTATATTCAAGAAATATTTTTGTAAGAAATGGTACCTACATCAAAGTATTATAAGACCTCAAAAATTATGTTCATGTCAACTAAAACAAAGCAAAAAAACATATGAATTTAAAATTACTTTTGTAACTCTAGAAAATGATTAACCATTATTATTAGACATATAAAAATAGGCAAGCAAATGCTGATCAAGTGTATAATATGTGAAAACACTGTTTTTTTTAGTTTTTTCACTTTTTCTCAAAAGCATATTTTTTTGCATTTAGGTACATTTTTAAAAAATCTATTGCACTATATGATTCCAGATTTTTTACTTCTATACAAGATGCCTATACATATAATGAACCTAATTTTTTCCCCATTAAAATAGTGATTAATTTTTTTAAAATGGCTTTAGGCTATCAACATTTACATTTTGAAATAAATTAATTTTAACGTATACAGTGAGACTTCTAATCGGCTAGGAAATAAAAAAAAAACAAAAGGCTCAATTTACAATAAAAAATACAAGTTTTGGTTTATATCAGACCTTCAACTTTAAGCAAAAACGAAGAACTTTGTTTACCTTTTTCGCCATTCAAATGGGCGTGGCCCAGTTTCAACGATTATTTAAAAATAGGTTTTAAGGGCTTTTTAATTACTCTAAAAGTTAAAGTAAAGTATTTTTAGAAAGGATGAAATCTATACAATTTGAAAATGCAACAATCTCAAAATGTCAAAAAAATAAAGATTTTAGCTTTCCAACACCCCTAAATCCCTAAGCAAGCTTGGTACTCATTTATCAACCCACTGCAGTAGGGATAAAATGCTGAGTCGACTGCTGGGCCATGATGATACCTACAAAATGGAAAAAAAATATTAGTTACACAAAAAATTCTGAGTTTCAGAGACCAATTCACCTTACTTTTTAATACAATTTTGAATCAGAATTAATTAAGCTTTACAATTTATAGCTTTTAGACCATATCTATCACAAAAAAAGGTTTAGGTATAACAGTCTTGTGATGCCTATAAGATTAAAAAAATAATTCTTGTATTTAAGTATATAACATAAGATATATTTTTCCTATTAATTTCTACAGCTTATTAGTAATATTAAAATATTTTAGGGCGAGATCAGATCTCTGACAAGGAAAAAAAATATGAAAATAAGAAAACAAGTTTTGTAAACATTCATAAGCACATAATAATTAACACTAACTGACACATGTGAACAAACAAGTAATATAAAAAAAATTAAGTCAATTACTACTTAGGTCAACAAAGAAAATTTTATTTTAGTTACTCTTTATTAAATAGTTACAAGTAATATAAATATGTATATGCATATATGACAAAATCACAACATTGTGACAAAATAGAAAGTGATCTTCCTTGCAATTTTCCATTTTCCTTTCTATATAGGGTGTTGGACTATTTTTTGCTTGTTACTATTTATTCATTAATTAAATTTAATTACTCTAATACAATAGTATAGTAAAAAAATGATATTCTCAAAAGTTAGGCCATCCCAGATGGAATTTGAACCCACAACCTTTGGATTAGAAGTCCAATGTGCTATTCATTGCGCTACAGGGACACATCGAACGATTATCCTTTCTCTACATGCTGTTGGACTTAATTATTGTTACTATTTATCCATTTTTTAATTTCATTAATGAATTAATATTTGAAAAAACTGTATTAAGATCAAGTGTCATCCATTACAAGGTTAAAAAAATGTATTTGAACTTGAATGGATGAATTGAAAGTATTTTATTAACGATTGAAAATTTGAACAAGATATATTAATATACGAGCTGCACCCTGCCACGCGTTGCTGTGGCTCAGTGTGGTTAAAAAGAAAGAAAAGAGAAAGCACATATTTTTAGTATGTTTAAACATTTGCATTTGACATATGATTTTTTATAATAAAAAAATTATAAATGTTCTTGATGTTTCTAATGCCACTTGCCTAACAGTGTCTGATCGAGGCCAACGAAATTCATCATGGCATAGGTCTAAGATGTATGCCTGTTGTTAGCTGTAGCTTTGAGCATCATGCAGGCGACAATACAATTTGGCTTGGTTCCACCCCAATTTTGAGGGAGAACATCCAGAGGTGGTCAGAGGCCTCCCAACTCTCTTCCCCTTCCACCAACCTCACAAGAGAACTTGCAGCTCGATGGCTATTCAGAGTACCCCCATGCCACAAAGGCACTATACATTTACAAACATTCATGCTTTCTCCAGGATTTGAACCCAGGCCCTACAACACAACAGTCAGCATCACTAACTACTATATAAGATGGGCAGCAAAATATATGCACACAAAACTTTCCTTAAATGATTTCCTTTGTAACTTGTTAACCAAATACTTGAAGTTATTATGGCTTATTTTCATCCTTATGTTATGAGCCTAAAATTATTTACACGGTCTTCATAGTGGAGACCTCAAGCTCGATGATAATTTTTAAATGGCTCTACTCTAGATTCCTCAAGGGCAAAGGGTTAGTTTAGAAACATGAATTGTATTTCTCAATGATATTGGAAATGTTTTTATTCTGCATTATATCTGGCAAGCAAAGTTTTTAATGACTCTGGAGGTTCTCCAAGTTGTGGCAGTTTAATTTTTCCAGTGGTGCAAAACATTCCTTTTGTTTCTCCCTTAAATTTCAGTCTTGCAATAATGACACTTTTCAGTAATTGCGCTGATTAGAACATGCTGGCTCAACCAATAATCTTCTGCTGGGTTGCACTGGAATGCAATGTGACCATTATCGTGTGATTGCTCGCCACCAAGTCATGTTTGACTATGAAATGCTGTTGCTCATTGATATCTTTCAGCCATTCGTAACCTATTGTATTCCTTTTGTCAAGAACAGAACAGACCTAATGTTGTAAGAAGCAAAGATGCATCCTCAAGTCTGGTTGCTATTACTCTGCTGCGTCCTCAGCACACGTCTTTGTCTGTTTTTCTCATTTGCAATGCAATTACTCATTGCACTACTTTTGTCTAGCAAATACAACAACCTAAATTTGATTTCCTACAAAGCGTTATTTTTATGTACTGAAGCCAATTAATTGACTGCACTTAAAAAGAAAGTTAAAACAAAAACATAAAATTTCAAAATATTGAAAAAAAAATCAGGAACAAAAAGAAAGGGCAAAATAAAAAATACACTCTCTAATGAAACATTTAACTTTAAATGTACATCAATCAACATAGCTTAATTCTAACGCAATGAGAAACAGATTATTTCATTCCACTCCAAAAAATCACTCTGAAGAGGTCAATTTTACTATATAATTTGAATTCAAATGAAAAGTAATAGGCAGAGCTCAATTCCTGCCAACGGCTCTGAGAAATGAAGAGGAAAAAATAAATGAAAAACAATGGGGAAAAAATTAACTATACTCATATAAAATCAACTCTATAGTAAAAGACAGCTTAATACCAATGCAATGTAGAAAAAAAAAATAACTAAGGTGACCGCCTTTGTTAAAAATGTCATTAACACTGGGAAGTATCATCAATGACATGAGCAACATGTGACAACAAAATCAAATTTGTGCATTGTTTGTAATCATATATTGTGTGTGAATGTGCCTGCTTTCCTTCATCTCCAACAAAGTAAGAGGAGAATTATAGACCATACATGTGTGTGGGGCTGAAGATATTTTCAGTAGAATACACAGGGAAATTTCAAATATTAACTTGGATTTCTTAGCAAAAAATGTATGATAAAGTGTTGATAATGATTGATAATTCTTGTGATTCACCATTCAATTAGCATTAGCAATTGTTATCAACAAATTTAAGGGCCTATCTTTATATAACAGAGTGGCTTATATCTAGACACAGGCTGCTTTTCACATGGACCATTATTTATGAGGGTACTTGCGTATTAGCATCACTGCAGCCAAATTACCACTATGAGAATCACACTATTTCCCATCCAAATCTGACTGATTGGTTCTTTTTCATATAAAAAATGTTAGAATCTTTGTTGCTTTGATATCAAGGTGTGATTTGCGTGGCAACAATTTTGTTATGGTGATGCTAATATACAAATACCTTTGTATGTTTTAGAGCAACAGTCACAAATTGATGGTACATAAGAAATTTTGCATGGTCCACAGAAAAATTGGAACATTTGTACTTTTATGATATACTCACACAAAATCAACACCATCGCTCCCACATTAGCAATGCAATTTATCAAAAAACAACTAAAGTGACTGCCTACATTTAAACTGTAACAGACACTGGAAGCTGATTGACTTAGGTAAAATCCTAGGAGGACCCACTGCTGTTTTTGGCGCCAAAATTTTTCGCCAAAAAGCGCCAAATTGAAGGTTTTCAAAAGGCGTCAATGACGAAAACTCTCTTGGGAAGCGCATGCGTCAGCGGGGGGAGAAGGGGGATGAAATGGGCGTTTCGCAAAGATGAAATCGAATAAATACATTAAATTAATCATTATATAAAGAAAAAAACGGAGAAAGCAATGAAATTCATTTTAAAAAAGCATTCTAAAACCAGTGTGTTAAAAAAGGACGAAAGGGGCGTTTCGCAAAGATAAAATCGAAGAAATACATGAAATCAATCATTTTAAAAAATGTTAAAAAGCACTTACCTTACGCTTGCATTTCTTCATGACCTGTTGGTGGATACACCCTTGCGATGGATGCAAGGAATTTATGAAAATTCTCATTCACCAACTTGTGATCGTTAGATCGCCGCCACATGTCTTATTAACTTTGTCTCATATTCTTATTAACTTTCAAGTCATTCACCACGAACGCATTCATGCTCTTGCCAAACCAATATCTCGTCAAATGCAAGATAAGTTATAGCAAGTTTGCTTTCGCTAAACCAAGTGCCCTTTCTCACACTCCGAACGACGTCGTGGCGATTATCTTTCGACTGGTTGCGGCAACGCCATTCGTAGCCGTCAACCGTTCCCTTTCGCTTTTGCAAACGCATATTTTTTTTACACCTCGGACATTCATAACGAGAAGCAATTAAATTAGCTTTCATACACCATTCTAACGTCTCTTTCTTCCCCTATGTGCCCAGGAGCACAAAGAAACCTATCGTAGCCTCACTTGCAAGTAATTTCCTTTCACACGCCATTCTTAATGTTGCACTTTTTTTAGGGTTGCCATTTTTTCGGTGATTTGAAAATCCAAATTTTTTTGATGCAATGGAAGGGTTACCATATTGTAACCTTTATCGCTCAAAATTTGGCAACAAAAAAATTTGGCGACCAAAAGTGGGTCCTCCTAGGATTCAACCAAATACGGTTAACAAAATATTTAACTTCAAATGCAAATCAATCAACATAGCTCAATTCTGATGACACGGGAAACATAATATTTCATTCCACTTGAACAAATCACTCCAAAGAGGTCAATTTCCCTATGATTTCAAATGAAAATTAATTGACAGAACAGAATTCTCACCAATTGCACTGAGAAATAAGAAAAACAATTAAAAAACTAAATGAAGAACAATGAAATAATAAGCTATGCTCTCACAAAATTGACATTATCGTAAAAGACAACAAAATTGACATTATCGTAAAAGACACAGCTCAATAGCAATGCGATACATCACAAAATAATTGTAAAATCAAACCTTTGCCCTCATGGACTCCATAGACATTTTCACAAATTTGGGTATATTTTATTTGCTTAAGAAAGCTTTTTGATTCAAATTAATGTAGCAATTCTTTTTCAGTAAAAGACTGCCCCTCAATAATGTTTTTGATTATTTTATGAACTTATTGATGTACTTAGAAATTATTTTGGTGCTTGCATATTATCGCAAGAGCCAATTTTGGCTATACTGTGCCAAACATTTGTTAGAAAACTTAAAATTTTTATAAAATATGTAAAAATAATGACAATACACTTTTAAAAAGTTAAAATTTCAAACCACTTAAAACCGTTTCCAAGGAATAATAGAAACAAATTTTGGTGGGGAATTCCCCCACCAAGTAAGACCATATCTTATAATATAAGCATCCAAACATTTGCTTAAAATGTTTTTTTAAAATAAATGAAAAATACAATTATATATAAATAAAAATTATATATGTGCATGCACATAGATAAAAATGTCTGACTTGCTTGTTCTTTCAAGATCTAAAAATAAAAGCATTTAAAAAAAAACTAGTGAAAAATTGAATTGTAGAAAAGGTTTAAGAGCATTTCATGTAAATAAAATTCGCTCCTACTTTTTTCGGAAACGCGTTGGAGTTAACGTGCGTAAATATATCCTTTAGGATAATTTATAGGATTTTCTTTAAGTACAAACTTAACCATAGGATCTGGCTCAAGTTCCTCCTCCTCCATGTCATAAGTTATCATGTATTCCTCATCTGTTGCATATTCTATAGGTGCTGACTTTCTAGGTCTATGTGGAGCCATTTTAATTTCAATTTCTGGTTTCTGCACTTTTGGGCGCTTTCTCCTATTTCTTGAATTTCGTTTTATACACTGTGGGTTTTCAGGTGCATTAGAATGTTCACTATTAGATGTAGTAGGAACAGACTCTGGTAAGGGAACTAATGGTTGAGTTTCAGTTGAAAGTGC